TACCCTGGCAATTTCCTTTCTGAATAAATGTTTTAAATAAGTACAGGTCCTCTGTTTAAAGAAAAGTTAGAATTTGAACAACACAATGGAAATTATGTAGAATAATATTCTCATTGCGGCTTCAGTTGCCAATCTTCCTCCCAGTCCTCCAAATGACCACCTCTGTTAATGGGTTACCTGTGAGTCCCATGGGAGGTCTGTTGGACCTTGTGGACCACTACTTAGCAACTGTATCTGCAGACTGGTGCTGAACTATAACTTTACTAAAGTGCTTGAGTGTCTAAGTACGGGGCCAGAACATAGGTTGCAAAAGACATTGCTTCCACTGTTCATCACTATACCACTTGACAAAGATCTTTGCCCTTTATTCTCACAAATATCCTACAAGACAGGTACTTCATTATCTTTATTTTGTAGTTGGGATAGCATAGCTGAGGTTCAGAAAAGGAAAGAGACTTAAAGTGACTTAATTCCCATAAATTGGCCCCATCTAAGAAACATCCTGAATGCAAGTCTCCACTGAATTCACATCCATAGCTTGAGTTTATAAAGTCAAGCTGTGGAAGCTTTCATCATTATTCAGATAGATGAAAAGGCATCTTGGGGATGTCATAAAACCATCAAAGTCAAGATGAGAAAAAGCAGAATGCTTTTGTCTGGTTTTGGGGTCCCTAGACAACTTTGTTCCACCATTCACCCAAATTATACTATCTTATATTACAGGGAGGGTCTTTTCCTCATTATGTATGTATTGGGCTGCCCACCATTTCTCTTCCATGCATTTACTCATGTATTTTCACTGCAAGGAATGTTTTCCCTATTTTCCCCCATTTATCTAAAGCCTCCATGTCCTTCAAGGCCTAGATCCTAAGATACAAGTCTCCCATGTGTATTTTTCCTTCCATTCAGAATTCCTGGAGCACCTGATGGTAGCCTACAGTTAGTTAGAATGGGGTCTAATTGATTGCTGTTTTAGCATCATCACCACCTTGTCCATTTCCCCAGCTTAACTGTAAGATATTTAAGGGGCAAAGATAATGTCATAAATGGATTTGTCTACCCCATGGTTCCCAGGAGAATATTTGGTATGTTGTTTATGTTTAGAAGTTGAGGGGAACAACTTCAAGTATTTGTGGATAAAAGATAATGTGTTCAGGAAAATTTACTTATATTGGCATAGATCAAAACTGTTAAGATGGGAGGCTGGGGCTGTGGCTCAGTGGTAGAGCACCTGCCTCACACGTGTGAGGCACTGGGTTTGATCCTCAGCACCATATAAAAAAATAAAAATATTGTGTCTATCTACAACTAAAAAATATTTTTAAAAAACTGTTAAGATTGGGAGCCGGGTGTAGAGGCACACACCTGTAATCTCAGTGACCCAGGAGGCTGAGACAGGAGGATTGCAAGTTTAAAGCCAGCCTCAGCAACTGCTAGGCCCTAAGCAACTGAGTGAGACCCTGACTCAAAATAAAAATGAAAAAGGCTGAGGATGTTGCTCAGTAGTAAAGCACTCGAGTTAAATCCCCAGGACCACCCCGCCAACCGCCCCCCCAAAAAAGCCACCAACCTGTTACATTAATAAAAAGATGTGAGGACTTCCATCCATGATCTGGCATCCTTTTGGAAGAGGGAAGCCCCTACTCCAGTCTCTCTAAAGAGGGTTAGATGTAATAGGGCCTAAAGGAATAACTAGAAGGGCCCACTCCTTTGGCCCCTCAGGAGAGAAGAGTCTATGCTCTAGGCAATGAGGAGGTTTTGTGGGCAAAGAGGAGCTGGAATAGTAGGGGATGGTAAGGGAACATAGACCTTTAGATAATTACAGTGGTTAAGAGGAGCAGAGGGAACCTTACCAGCACAGGCAGCTCAGGCCCCAGGGCTCTTTTGCTGAACTCTCATCCCAGCCCAGATCAATGGCTGTACTTTTCCTTGATCAGAGGGAGGGCAAGGAGTGACTTGGCTCTCAAAGAAGACCCTATTTCTCCCAAGTCTAGCAGGAGCCCTGCTTCAGCTTCAGTCTGTTCTGAGCTCTTCCCTGTAGGCGTCTGGAGGGAACACACAGATGGGTCAGGCTGATGGGATGGGCTGAGTTGGAGGGAAGGAAGTTTATGGTGTGTGGCTCCCCTCATGGGGTAGATCCTGCTGTCATCTTCAACAGATGATATACATGTTTTAAGCTTCTGCCACATGAAAAGCAATGGGCCTTTCTTGTTCTTCATCCTCCTACCTTGACTCATTTAACCATTGGGGATACTCTGTTAGAAACCTGCCCCTCTGTTGCCCGCCCCACTTCTACAGTAGCCACAATATACTCAGCCTGAGTTCCTCCTCTACCTCTTTCACAGATGCTTCCTCTCCTTATCTATCCCCAGGAGATACTTTATTTGGTTTTAGAACAGGTAATAAATGCCATAGTTGGGCTCGGGCTGTAGCTCAGTGGTAGAGCACTTGCCCTGCACGTGTGAGGCACTGGGTTCGATCCTCAGCACCACATAAAAATAAATTTTAAAAAATTAATTAATTAATTAATTAATTAAATGCCATAGTTGAAAATTGAAAATGTAGAAAAAGGGCATGAAATGAATATGTCATTCTGTTTTTATTTTTTAGTGGTGTTGAGGATTGAACCCAGGACCTTAAGAATGCTAGGTAAGCACTCTACTATTGAGTTACAACCCCAACCCTCCTATGATGAAAAGTAAACTCCCACCTGCTACCTGTCTTCTACTCACCCAGTCCTCCTTCCGAGGGGCAATCAGTATAATCCATAGTTTGTAATTTGTTGGGTCTCAAGACACTTTTGTATATCTGATGAAATTCATGAACTCTGTTCTCAGACAAATGCATGACTACACAAAATATTAGATTGTACCATTTTACAAGAATCATCTCTGGTCTGGGGCTAAGGCTCTTGGCCAGTACCATACTCTCACCTTTAGTATCTCCTTAGTATAACTTGTAGGTCTCCTTAGTATAACTTGTTTCATGCAAAATGAAACGCAGGGCTTCTTGTTCAAATAATTTTAGGACAACAGCCAAGCATGGGCTCCTGTGTGACTTCAAAGGTCATACATACACCAAAGCAAGCCCTGTATCTCATCCTTTCTTCTGGCTCTTCCACTTCCATTTTTATGATGATTATCCTCATATCTGTCACTTGACCCAAATTGTTCTGAATTTCAGACTCTGCTGTTCAGGGAGTGTCTGAAATTCTCCATATGGATGTTCTAACATCTCAAACTCTGTGTCTCCAATATGGAACTCACTCAGCCTATCCCTAACTCTCTGCTCTCAACTCGTAGTTCTTTTCTATATCCCCTACCACCTGCAGCTTGTCCCTCTCTTTATGCTCATTCACATCCCCAGCCCCTATACTCATCCATACTGTTGCCAAATCTAATAAGTTCTATCAAACCCATGCCTCCTTTCTTTTCTAATGCCATCCCCATTGGGATGGTCCTTCATTATCTCCAATGTATTACTGGCCCTGAATCTCAGCTGCACAGGCCTTGCTGCTCCAATCCATGCACAACTCTTCCAGCTTGGGAGACCATCCTGATCATGTCATTTCACAAAGACCTCTAGTGATCTCACTGCCTCTAGAGTTGGGTAGGAATGCATTTGCCTGACATTTAAGGTCCTTTGTTGTGAGGCTCAAAACCTTTTTCATTTTCTTTTATACTCCTCCTCTTCATGTCCCTGAGGTTTCAACCCAACTGTACAACCATCTGGTTGCTTATTGGCCCCATGTGTTTTCCTCTGTTTTAGAATTTGAACTGCGTCTTTTCATGGTCCCCAGGGTTTAGAGCTTGCTTACTACACTCATAGACATGTCATTTCTCTGACCCTTTTATCACAGCCACTGCACATGGTCCTACCCATTATGTTCCTGAATCTCTTCTGTGATACTTCCACCTCTTCCATGCATCCTTACTGGAAAAGGACTTTCATGCCAAGCTGGATAAAATCACCATTAAGTATTAAGCAGACAGTGGAATCCCAGCTCTATTACTTACTGGGTGCTCTCAGGCAAGTTACTTACACTCTGTTTCTTCCACTATAAAAATAGGTTGTAGGCTTATATATATGTCTTATTTCTCTAAGGACAGTGCCATTATTCATATTATCATCTCATAACCAATCATTCTGCACTGGTCCTCCTTGGTTCCTCAGCTTGCAAGGACCCAAAATACATCTCATCACTCTTTTCACCAAGTTCTAGGAGGCTGCACTTAGGGTGGAGGCCAGGCTCTCAGGTACTCAGGTAGCTGTATTTATTATATTCTAGGGGTGAGGAGAGCTGCTGCCTCTGCTCCTTTTGTTCAAACTCATGGTTCAGGCAGCAGCAGGCGTGGGTGTCCCCAGAGGAGGCAGTGACAGCTTCAGTACTCACACAGGCTATGCAGGTGACAGCTGAGAATGTGGGGCTCTGCCAGAAGAGGTTCTGGAAGACCCCACCATGCCCCAGCTGATGGGTATTACTCGTGGATGTGGACCCCATCTTGAACAAGTCCAAGCAAAAGCTCAGTATCTGTGGTAGCTGAACATAGCTTCCAGCCAGCTTCCTACAGGTAAAGGGTGGGATAAAGAGATGGAGGCCCAGAGTGTGGAGACTTGGTCACTGTGTCACTAAGTTACTAGATTACTTTTAGCAGGTACCTGTTTCTCTCTAGGCCTGTTGTCTCATCTAAGTGAACCCAATTATCTGTAAGGGCTCTTCGCCTCTTGAAATGGTCCAAGTTAGTTCCAGAGCCTCCCTTGCTTCTCTTGAGTACTGAGATACATTCCCAGCCCTTTTTATTCTTTAAGACAGGATCTCCCAAGTTGCTTAGGGCCTTGCTAAATTTCAGAGGCTCCCCTCGAACTTGTGGTCCTCCTGCCTCAGCCTCCTGGGGGCTGGGATTACGGGCTGCACTTCCTTGATTTTTGTCTGTAACAGCAGTTTCCATCCACATTCATCCCTTCCCTGGAGGCTCCAAGAACAGAAAGCAAGGTAAACGGATGCAATACAAAATTCCTTTATTGAAAAGGGAAAGGGTGGCCTTTTTCTAGTGCCTCCTCGGCCAGGCTGGCCAAAGGGGTTGCCACAGCTTCTTCATTCCGGGATCTGAAGGCAGAAGAAAATCTGTCCACACTTTACCTTTAAGAATCTTAAAGGTGAAGTGCCTCGGTGGCAATGGTAAATCACCGAATCAACTATCGAGAATAGCACTTCCAGGCCCTTGCCTTTAAGAACTTCTTAAGGGCAATGTGCACCAGTATGGCAGATAAAAGCCAGAACATTTTTTCGGAAGTCTCTAGAAAAGGGCCTCTTCCAGTCTTTAAGACTCTTAAAGGTGAAGCATGTTCAGCATACAAAGGAGGTCCAACTCCGTCTAGGAGTCTACAAAACACTTTTCCAGTTCTCTTGTCTAGAATCTCTACAGAAGAGGTGGCCACGCGCGACTTAATAAAAGCAAAATACCTTGCAGGACTGTTTTCTTTCTTGACCCTCCCAAACCCGCCCCGCCCGCGGCCGTAGCGGGAGAGTCCTTCGGCTCGTGGTCTGCGTCCGGCGCTAGAAGGCGAGCTGCCCCGCGAACGCACGGTACCTGGAGCTGGGTGGAGATGACGCCCACCGGCCCTTCCCCCGTGGTCACACCAGGGCATCCTGGGAATTTTTGGTTTCCTAGACGGCTTCCACAAAGGAAGCCGGACGGGGGCGGGGCGAGGGGGCGAGCGGAGGGCGCCGTGGCCATGGCGACCGCAGCGGCTGTGGAGACCTTGGCTCAGAGCACAGAAAGGTCGTGACATGACCTGGACCGCTGCTTGAAGAACTTAGCGTTGCGCGGCACTAGGTTGGCCAGGAAGCGCTTGGCCTTCTTGGTGAGGCTCTCGCGGCGCGCAGACGGCGCGGGGCCTTCAGGGCTGCCCGACTCGTGCCGCTGGCCTCCTGTGCGACCGTGGCCCCTCCGCAGCCGGATCTGGCGAACGGCGCCCTCGAAGAGCTCCCGCGTGTTATGGTGAAGCGCTGCCGACGTCTCGATGTGCTTGCAGCTCAGCGTTCCGGCCAGGTGGCGCCCCTCTGTGGGAAGGAGTCGGCTTAGGCACCCGCTGGGCCGCCCTGGGCCCAGAGTTTGCAGTGGAAAGGGTTTGGGACTATGAATTGCAACACAACTCGAAAACTAGGCTGGGATCCTAGGGTGGGACCGTGGAGGTGCGAGGGAGGGGCCGAGGGGCCTTGGAGAGGCTAAGGCGATTGAAGAACAGAAGGGATTCTTAGGGCCCTAGAAGAGGAATATTGGGGCTCTGTCCTTAACCTGGAGCTAACTGCTGGTGAATTCGTGGGCCTGTGAAGGTTTTAGAAAGGCCTCCGGGAGGGCTGCACCTGCCCTCGCACGTGTGAGGCACTGGGTTCGATCCTCAGCATCACATAAAAATAATAAAGATATTGTGTCCATCTACAACTTAAAAAAAAAAAAAAAAGGCCTCAGGGAGAAGAGGTGATACAGAAGCTAGAGCGGTCCCCTGAAATGGCAAGTATAGAATCGGTTCAGAATACACACCCTCCAGTGATACCTCCCGGGAGCGGGCCAGGTCACTCTTGTTTCCAACCAGGATGACAGGTAGGTCGTGATGGGGCCTCCCAGCTCGGAGCCGAAGTAAGGTCTCTGGAACTTTGGAGAAGCTTCGTCTATCCGTGACTGAGAAGACGATGAGAAAGGCGTCCCCCGTCTGAAGGCAGTGGTCCCGCAGCCACCCCCCAGCATCTCCCTGGAGACGTCAGAGATTGGTAGAGAGTTAGGGCTGAAGACAGAGTTGACCCAGTCGAGCACCTACATCTCAAAGATGAGGAATCCCACTGTGTGAGAGAAACCACCTGCTTAGGACAGCTGAGCTAGTTAATGACATCATTCCCAGAGTGTGTTTGAGGTTAGTAATGTGACCCCCATTTAGGGGAAATTGGAGGATCCTAGACCAGGGTAGCCTTTCTACATTCTTATGCTTAAGCTCTTGATTCAGAAACAAATGCTATTTAAATTTATGTTATTTGGCCTCTCATTTCTACCTAATAACCTTATGTTCAAACATTGAGTACCCCCACCCTGCCTTTTTTCCCTTTTTGATACTCCAGCACTCTGAGCACTTGTCCTGTCATATCAGACTCTTTTAGGCTGGAAAATTTATGGATGGAATCAACTTCTGGGTTGTCTAGCCTGGCTTGAAGCTACAGTTTGTCAAATTCAGATCCTAAATTTAATGTCCTTTTTTTTTTTTTTTGAACCTAGGGAGCCACAAGCCCAGCCTTTTTGTATATTTTATTTAGAGACAGGGTCTCACTGAGTTGCTTAGCACCTTGCTTTTGCTGAAGGTGGATTTAAACACAATCCTCCTGTCTCAGCCTCCTGAGTCCCTGGAATTACAGGTGTGCCATTGCTTAACTTTCCTCAGAAGATCCTGGAAAAGTAGTAGCTCTTATGGCCAGGGGCCTGGTATACACATTGGTGTGGACCTTGTTGTCTGAGATAGTACAAATGAATTGTACACATTTACACCAGGGTCTGCAGTCCCACCAGCCTTCAGCCAGACTGCCCTTCCTCAGTTTTCTCCCAACTTCACCTGTGTTCAGCCACATCTTAATCCTCACCTGTTCCCAGATGTCATAAACAACTAAAGTTACTTCCTCCTTATCCACCATAATTCGTCTCTCATAGGTGTCCTCTGTTGGGAAATAGAATAAAACCCATTAGGAGGTTCCCCAACACTTGTGAAAACTGGTAACCATAAACACCTCAGATCCCAGCAGCAGGGAACCCCTGCCAGGGAGTCTGCCACAGAAAGCACCGGAGAAGTTTCTCTTAGGTTTAATTCTTCAGGGGCTGCTTATGCCATGAGCACTTTCATCCCTCAATAGGGCCCCAGGGTCCCCTCCACCACCACGTGCTCTCCCAAATACCTGCATTCTCCGGCTCATGAGCACTGTCTCCCTGGAGACCACCGAAAGTGCCTGCAAGGGTGCTTTTGCCTACGCCACTCTCCCCTACTAGCATGACCTTGAAGATGCCATCCTTTTGGGCAGGGGCTGCCTCTCCTGAGCCCAAGGAGTCAGAGGAACCAGAAGATGAGGCCTGAGGCGGCCAGTCAAGTTCATCTACAGCCTGTGCCCTACATAGCTGGTGCTTGTAGGGCACAGGCATACTGCCTCTTCGTCTGGGGACCCCAGGGACAGGGGGTGGCCCACTCTGGTCCAACCCTGCCAACAGTTTCTCTGGCTTCTTCAGAAGTGTGGCATCTGTTTCTGGATAGGCAAAGAAAAGGAAGCCATGAATGGTATATGTCCAGACATCTGCAGAGAGCTAACCCAAGCTGCTTCAGCTTTGGAGGCCAGCCACACCCAGTTGATGACCATGACCCTAAACAACAGAATCTTTGGCTCAACCTTTTACACTAAAGTCTCCTAGAAGCTTGGACTGGTAAGCCTTCAAGGATGTGACATGATGACTTCCCCATTGTAGTCCTAGCTACATCTGCTCAAAATTACCCCATACAGGAGAGGTACCTGTGTGCAGGTCACATACCCACTCACACTTCAAACTGACATAGGCATACTCCCAGACTTGACCTCTGGCCCAGGGGGGCTGGAGGAGGCTGTCCATCCTTCCATTAAGGGGCCTGCCTCCTACTGGTAATCCTACTTCTTCCTGCACTGGTAATGCCCACACTGAGGAGGGCAGAAGGTATGAGAAACTGAAGCTGCTGAAGATTCTGGGGAGTAGATATAAGCAGAGTCAAAAACTTTGTAGGGAGTCTGTTTCAAGGGCTCTGTGAGGTGATGTGTGTTTGGGTTGTGGACGTGTGTGTGTGTGTGTGTGTGTGTGTGAGACTTCTTCCTTGTGTGGTCTCTGTGGGTGTGTGTGTGTGTGTGCGCGCGCGCGCTGCTTCTTCCCGTGCCCTGTAGGTGAGCATCCCTCAGTGCATGGCTGTGTGCGAGAATCCTGCATCCCTGGTTGTCCCTGTGAGTGGGAGAGAATATTGCGTTCATGGAGAGGTAGAGGTGGGGAGAGAGAGAGTATGAGTGAGAGGGAGGGTGACAATGCATGGGTCAGGGTAACTGGAGGAGGAACAACAGACATAACAAAGGGGGATGGAGAAAGGCTGGAAATAGCCCAGGATCAATACTTGGCTGACAGCCAGGTCCTTTAGGAGCCAGAAGAAACCCTTACAACAGGTCCCCATGGTAGCCCCCTGCCCGTGATTCCCAGGCTTGTGGGCTTCCCCTTCCCTTTCACCCTTGCCCCCAGTCTGTCCCAGACTATAGGGAATGAGGCTGACCTGAGCACCACATATTGCTTTCTCAAGCAAAACCCCAAAGCCCTGGGAGTGATGGGGGAGGGGGCATTTGGGCAGCTTTTCTCCTCCTCCACCCTAGCCCAGCCCTTATATGAACAAGGGTCTTCATTACTTCCTGACTTGCCTTTCTCCTCTTGCTGATTGAACCTCTAGTTCTGACCACCAAAGCTTCAGCTCCCACCCCCGTGGTTGCAGCCGGCACCTGCTACGTTAGCCCTCACCTGGTGTAGGTGTCCCTGATGGGGAGGCCTGGCAGCTGTCGGAGGGACAAAGTGCTGTGTTTTCTGTATCCATGTCCATGTCGGTATCGGGGTCCGTGTACATGCGCGTGTGTGCGTGCAAGTGCAGCCCAGCAGCTTGCAGCACCCGCTCCCTCACTCAGCAGCACTGTCAGCTTTTCCCTTTAAATACCACCCCCCCCCACAAGTCCTCCCCCTAGACACCTGGGGAAATTGTCCCGCCCCCTGATGAGGTCACATATGCTAATGAGCAGTGATGTCAGCGGGATTCCCTCCTTCTGCCCCCCTCCCTTTTCTTTGTGTCACTTCCCTCTGGGAGCATACTCACCATGAGCCTGGTTAAGGCGTGAAAGAACAAAGTCAGAGGGGCGGATGAGATGGAGATTCAGAGAGGTGGGGTGGGGGCAGGTCCCGTGGGCAAGGGAGCTGAGAATGGCAGAAGGCAGATTCCCAGGGTAGGAAAGGTCTTTTTCTCCAAGTGTCAGAATGAAAACTATGTATCATTTGTGTCTGTTTCCAGCCCCCTATCCCAGCATGTAGCCCCAGAATGGGTGCTCAGTGGTTGAAAAGAAGGATGAGAGGCAAAAAGACAATAAGCTGATCTGAAAGACAAAAGAAAAATATACCAAAAGAGATGCAGGGGCAGTGGGCCATCCACCCCACCACTGTCTCCTCTTCCACTCTGCCTCTTCTGGGCTGAGAGCCATAAAAGTACCCATTTCCAAGTGTGGCCTTAGGCAGATGGGGGATCTGTAAGAAAAGCTGCTTTGTTTGGGCAGCTTCTTCTTCTTCTTCTTTTTTGTCACTAGTTTCAGGTAGGTGCAAACCATTGTAGAGGCTTCTTCCTTTACCTCATCTCTCTCCCAACCAGGCCCACCCAGCCAGTGTTAATCAGAGCAGGTAAAAAAAGATACCAGAATGAATGGTGTCTACCTATGTAGGCAGCTCCTTACTGTCCCTTTTGTGCCCAGCTTCTTTTCCCTTCAGGTTTCGACTCTTGTCCCCTTTCTTCTGGACACTCTCAAGAACCCAAATACACCTTCTGATTTCCTCTCCCCAACTTCACCCTCTATTTGCCAGATGCTATGCTAGAGATAGTTTTGCATTATCTCCCTTCCTCTTCCTGACCTGAAGACTCATAATGGTAGGTGGGTGGCCTGTCCCCAAAGTAATAATGCAGGGGTGACTGGGATTCCACCCAGAGCTTTCCAAGGCCAAAGACTATTTTTTTCATTTCTATGCTATGCTGCTTTCCTTGTCTTAAAAATTCCAACTCTCTTCTATTATTGGGAACAATCCATTTTGTCATCCTCGGAGGACTTCTCCAATAGAAGAGGCAAATAACATTCTTGGGAATGAAGTGCAGTGACACTTCACTTGTCTGGAGAACAGGATCTAAAGGAAGCAGGGAATACTCCTCAGCTTCTAATATATTTGTACATTTTACTAATTAGACTCTTCAGTCCTCACCAACAGTCTGCTTGTCCTTATTTTATTCACACTTTTAATGTGTCCATGTGTGTTCCTGTAGTAGATTAGAACTGCCAGGTGTGGTGGCACATGCCTGTAATCCTAGTAACTCAAGAGACTGAGGCAGGAGGATCACAAGTTCAAGGCCAGCCTCAGCAAAAATAAAAAGGGCTGTGATATGGCTCAGTGGTAAAGTATCCCAGGTTCAAGTCCCAGTAACCCCCAAAAGAATAGATTAGAATCATATTTAGAGTAGCAAGTGCCCTCTAATAGTCTGGTAGAATGAGGCAACCTCAGGAGAAAAACTTTTAAAGCATCCAGAAGCATTAAAAAGGAGTCTAAGGGCCAGGCATGGTAGTGTACACCTGTAATTCAGGGGGCTGAGGCAAAGGATCACAAGTTCAAGGCCCACCTTGGCAACTTAATGAGACCTGTCTCAAAAGAAAAAAGCTCGGTGGTAGGGCACCCTTGGGTTTAGTCTTTAGTGCTGCCAAAAAAAAAAAGTCTAAGGTCATTTGATATATAGTCAAAGAGTGTCCCCCACAATAGTTACAGCTTATGAAGACACTGCTGCAAAGAAGTCATCAGATTTCATGGATGATTCTCGGCTATTCAGAAAATTTTTATATTGCAGGTCTTCTGAAGATGAGCGGAACATTTTAGGATGATTTTCTTCCAAAATGAGTTATGTTTTGTTTTAAATTGTAAAGTAGTGATCTCTATGAATCTGGAAAACCCTCTCGAGTGGTTGGATTCCTTTCTGTACTAGATAAGGGTGAGTCAGGGGCTGCAGAGCCCAGCAACAATTCTCTACTTTGAATTCTGCCTCCCCCAGTTCAGCTTTGGGCCAAAGGAGCAGCCTGCTTTTTACTTTGAACCACCTGCCCCTCATCCAGTAAGGCACACACAGATCCTAGAGAAACTTCCATAAACAAAGGCCTCCCTAGGGAACTCTTGCCCTAAGGCTTGGCCCTCCCTCCAACATTCTGAAGCATTCTACCACCACAAGGGGTGCTTTTACTTTAAATCTTTGTCCACTTTATTTATTTTAAAATTTTTTGGGGGGGAGTGGCATACCAGGAATTGAACTCAGGGGCACTCGACCATTGAGCTACATCCCCAGACCTATTTTGTATTTTTTATTTAAAGACAGGGTCTCACTGAGTTGCTTAGAATCTTGCTTTTGCTGAGGCTGGATTTGAACTTGTGATCCTCAACCTAACCTTTGTCTACTTTAAAACTGCAAATACCCCTAAGAGAGAAAAAGGTCTGGAAAAAGTCAAGAGATGAAGATATCAGGTTGCAGATTTTTAAGGTGGCTAAGGAGGAAGAGAACAGCAAGGGAGAATGCAAAGAGGAGGTGAAGAAGTAGGGAAGGGGAAATTACCATTCCTACTGCATTTTTCACTGAGACATTGGGTGGATCCAGTTTGTACTGGGAGGGCCCAAGGGAGAATCATAAGCAGGAGCCAGGTTTCCTGGAGGTCCTTCCACACACTCTGGAGAGGAAGTGGAGTGGAAGGAGCTCAGGTTTTTCCTGGGCCAAATTACTAGGGTCCCAGAACTGCACATGGGTCCACACCCCCTCTGCCACTTCCTCTTGCTTACTAGGAGGGAAATTTTGTAATTACTACTGACTGTGAGGATGTTGACAGGGTATAATCAACAGGGCCCTTCCACCAGGGAAGTAAGGGGCCCATTCCCCTGGGGACCATCTCAGCTTTGCACCTGAGGTCTCACTCCCACAGGCTCCTTCTATATCCTATGTCCCAAGATTTTCTTTTTTTTCTTTACTATTTATTTTTTAGTTGTACACAATGTTTATTTTATTTATCTATATGTGGTGCTGAATATCGAACCCAGGGCCTCACACATGCCATGCGAGTGCTCTATGCTGAGCCACAACTCCAGCCCCCCAAGATTTTCTTATTAAACTCTTCAACAACTTGTCACCTTCTCACCAGAGGCAGGCCTCCATTTCTCAGGAGATATCCCTCTCCAGCTCTTTGGCTCTGACCATTGCTTATTATGCTCAGTTATCTCTTTTCAGGAAGTCCAGTGTCTAGCCATCATGTTTTGTTGTTGTTTATCCTGCCCTAGAATTCACAGCTCTCTCCCAACTGTTGGCAGAACCCATCCTCTTGGATTCAGCCCTGATGATGCCAGCCCTTCCATAGGCTGAATGGTTGTGATTTTCCCTATGACTAATCATTCCCTGCTTTTTTGTTTGTGGGGGGGAATACCAGGGATTTAACCTAGGGTACATTGTAACAGAGCCACATCTTCAGCCCTTTTTCATTTTTGAGACAGAATCTTGCTAAATTGCTGAGGGCTTCACTAAGTTGCTGAGGCTGGCCTTGAACTTAGTATCCTCCTGCTTTAGCAAGGCATTGGGATTGCAGGTGTGCAGTATGGCACCCAGCTTTGGTCCCTGTTTTGAGGAAGCTGCACTGAGAGCTCATCTCTTTGGTGTAGGACAGGCTGTTAAGTGCCTGATGGGGATGGGAGGGTAGAGGGCAGGAGTCACACAGCTCCTATGTTCTACCAGGGATAGATTGCTCCTGTGTGACATCTGTGCTCTGAGAGTACTCCATAACTGGGAACCTTTCTAGCTGTAGGGCCCAGCTGGCTCCCTGATTTCCAACCAGGGGTGAGTAAAGAAATTCGATGCTCAACCCTATGTCACTATACGGCTGGCCCCAGGCAATGAGCAGAGGTGAAGAAGGGTGGTCCTTAGGGTTCCTTCAATTTTTTTTTTTTTCCTTTTGGTACCAGGGATTGAACTCAGGGGCTCTTAACCACTGAGTCACATCCCCAGTCCTATTTTGTATTTTATTTAGAGACAGGATCTCACTGAGTTGCTTAGCACCTCGCATTTGCTGAGGATGGCTTTGAAATCGCCATCCTCCTGCCTCAGCCTCCCGAGCTGCTGAGATTATAGGCATGCACCACTGCACCCTGCTTACTTGAATTTTCTTACCTTTCAAGGGACATAAAAATCAAGGGTGGGGTGGCTGAAAGATGGATAGGAAGAGGGCAACATGCAAAGGGCTAACAAATACCTTCAGAGAGAGGAGCAACAAGAGGGAGCATAAACCAAGATGGGGAGAGAGGCCAGGCTCAGAGCTGATTTACAAAATGTTAAAATTTATGATTCCTTTATTTTTTTACCTTGATTTCTTGGGCAATGCTGTAGGTGTGGGACAAAAACATTTGTTGCATTCTTTTTGTGAGCCAGGCTCTATAGGGATGGAGACTGGCAAAACCTCAGGCCCTATCTAAATCCTCCCCTTGGGGCTAGAGGGTCTCCAGTCAATTGTCACTTGTGTTTAAGGCCACTTTAGGGTTGGGGTTTGGCAAGGATGGAGTGTCCAGGCCTATGTCCCTTTAAGAACTTTGCTTTTTAAAAACATTCAACTGGATAGTGGTAGGATAGGGAAAGGATGGTGGGAAAGGAACTGTGGTCTCTGGCTGTGTAGAGGAAGCTCTCAGTGAGCCCTCTCCCTGACTGAGGGACACCTAACTTTCCAGTAGCTACAGTGGTCAGTGGGGAAGCTAAGCCACTCTCTAAAAAGGGTGTGCCACTGTGACTAGACCCCCACCCCCCAGAGGAGCCAGATCCCCTCAGGCAAGCAGTGGTTCATCCTCTGTCTCTACCACCCAGACCGCTGGCTCAGCTAGTGGCATCAACAACACATCATCCTCATCCTCTGGGGCCAGGACGGTTGTGTGGGGTCCAGGTGGAGTCCAGGTTGGTCCTTGGGGCCACAGGCTGGGCAAGAGGCGGCCTCGCAGGGCATGCACTACTCCAGACAACACTGATGGCTCCAGAGGGACTGAGGGCAGTGGCCCCTGGGTCTCAGGGACAGAAGGGAGGGCTGGAGATGTGCTGGCAGATGGGAGGGGGGACTTGACAGGCAGTGGTGGGGCTTGCTCCCCGTCCTGCCCACCCACTGCTCCACCCTCATGGGCTGCACCTGGGCTGCCATCCAGGGCCTCAAGAGAAGCAACAGGAGGTGTGACCTGGGGTCTGGTCTCAGAGGCCCGAGATGAGGGGTTGGTTCGGGGAAGCAGTCCCCAGCGGCGGAGCCTGCGAACCAGACGACGCACTGAGCGGCCCCGCTGGCGGCGGCGACCACCTGAGGCACTTCCTGGAGTCATATCCTGGCGCAAAATCTGAAGCAGAGAACGCAGATTGCCCAGCACTGAGTTCTGCAAGGAGAAGAGGCAGATATCAGAGTCAGAGGGCCAAGTGGCTAAATGCAGGAGGGAGCAGTAATGAGGCCACAGCTGGTTGGAACAAGGAGGTGCTTGAGTTGGGGATGACTTACATCATTAGGGTTCTCTGTAGGGAAGTCTTCTACAGGCGGGATGGCACCCTGAGCAATGAGCTGCCCGTAGGAGGGAGGTGCCTGTTGTTGCACAATCTCAGCCTCCATCCGGGAGAGGGGGGCAAAGATGCTGGAAGGAAGGAGGGCTAGTCAGTCACTGGTGGTTCCCAGCCAGGGTGGCCTGCTCCAGCTTGGATAGGCCTCTTCCCTTCACCCTCAGGTCAGGACAGCTGGAGCTATGCTATAGCTTTCCTCAGGTCATCTTATATCCCTTCCTTCCTTGAGACTTCTTTCATAAATAATCTAGACCTGACTTTCAAGCGTTAAGCAACAAGCTGGTCACAGGAAACTCATTCCCAAGGCGGGCACCCTCATGGTCTCCTGTAGCTGCACAGGTCCTGTCTCTTCATCTGTAAAGAGTGCTCACTCTTCTATTGCCAGTCCCATTCCCACTGACCTGTACTCCTGTGTGCGAATGGCATACAGCCTGCAGGTGCATCCCAGGGCAATGACCAGCAGCAGGCCGCACACTAGACTGCCAATGACTGCAGCTGTGATGACCTTGCGGGGCAGGGCATAGGAGCAGTCCCACTCATCGCTGCCATCAGCACAGTCTGGCTGCCCGTCGCATACCCATGTCTCATATACACACTTCTCGTCTCGGCATCTGAAGTTGCCAGGCTGGCAGTGCCGGCAGCGTCTCTCATCTGCCCCATCAGCACAGAATGTCTGGTAGTTGCAGCGATCAGCAGGCAGGTAGCAGGCTGTGGCACCAGGGGTGCCAGCAGCCCCGCAGGGGAAATGTCCAGGTGGGCAACCAGGACAGTCTTCCTCATCTGTACCATCGGCACAGTCCCATGAGCCATCGCAGCGCTGGGCCTCACTATAGCAGCGCTCACCTAGGTTTTCACCAGCCCCCAGGCCTGAGCCTAACCCACATGGTCGGTCCCAAGGCAAGCAGTAGCCCCGCACATGGTAGGTAGCATTGAAGCCCCGACCATTGCTCCAAGCAACTGTGTGATAAGCAACAACAGCCTGACCAGACAGTGTCTCCACAGTGACAGCTTTGCCATTACTAAAGTGAGTGAGACTGCGTAGTAGCCGAGGGGTCTCTGGGGGCCCAGCACCATCATACACATGCACTGCATCTCCATAACCCAAGTCCAGGGCTGTGAAGCGCACTGCTAGCCGCCGGCCATCATGGGGGTCCAGCAGCCACAGGCAAGACTGGGGATGAGAGACTGAGGCCAGGTGTGAATAGCCAGGGGAGGAGAAGACCCCATAGAAGTCCTCTAAGGTGAGATTGCAGGGCAGGGTGGGGGTGGGGCCTGGGGTCAGGCTAGGAAATGGGTCTGAACTGCAGCCTGCCTCATCAGAGCCATCACCACAGGCATCAACTCCATCACAGCGCTGGGCAGCAGGTACGCAGCGGTGGTTCAGGCACTGGAATTCTTCCTGCAGGCACATCAGCCAATCTGCAGAGGCATCATGGAGAGGGACTGTGAAACACCAGAGCCCTCAGGATCTTTCTCTCTTTATTTGTGCTTGTACTGCCCTCTCTAACAGCCCTTCAGACTTCTCCGTCCAGCCTACCTTGGCTGTAAGAGAGCAGGAACCCCTGGCCCATGGGTGCTCTGGCCCCAGCATAGCTGTAAGTGATGGTGACATTGCCCCCTGGCAGCTGAAGAGGGCTAGAAGGTGCCTCACATAGGGAGATCAGTGGCTGGAGAGGGGAGCTCAGGATTACACGTTCTGAGCCACAGGCCAGGTGCAGCTTCTGGAACCTACAGGGGTAGAGAAAAGCAGTACATAAAATGTTCTTGATTGATGCTGGCTTCCTCCTCCTCCAGCGCCACCAGGCCCTTCTAGCCCAAGAAGCACAAACACCTGCTCATCCATGATTCAAATGAAAGCTCAGCCAAATTCTTTTGCAGTTAATCTCATCAATGGGCATAGTCCTAACAGAGACCAGTGACACAATGATACCATGAAATATATCCTAGAGCCATCTGGAAAAACATCTGATCTGTGTTCAGAAATTAAGTGAAAAATAGGTTTATTGCTTTTGAGTTGTTGCAGCATGTCACCCAAGTATTGTGCGGGCAATAACTGACAATTACTATACAGTTCAATTAAATAGAACTCACCAACACCCCAGTACTAGGAAGGTGAGACCTGAGATTCTCATAGCATACGGATCCCTCTGCCAAAACAGCCTCTCCCCAGATTGCTCTCCCCCTTTGCCTACCCTTTTCTGAGAAAATTCATAGCAAGTGAACCATATAAGACAAACAGTCAGGTACTTAAAATGGGCCCCCATGCCATGACCCAAGGTCAGAGAAGCCTAGGGAGATGGAATGTTTAACAGATATGGAAGGGTGCTAGATTGTAGCTCAGTGGAAGAGTACTTGCCTAACATGTGTCAGGTGCTGAATTCAATCCCAAGCACTTTAAAAAACCCCACAAAAACAGATCTGAGGAAGTTAAGGAAGGTTCTAAGCTCATTAAGTAATAGGTTGCTATTGTTTATAGTACTGGGGATTGAACCCAGGGGTGCTGTATCACTGAGCTACATTCCAAGCCCTTTTTATTTTATTTTTTAAATATTTATTTTTTAGTTATAGGTGGACACAATAACTTTATTTTTTATTTTATGAGGTGCTGAGGATCGAACTCAGTGCCTCACGCATGCTAGGTGAGCGCTCTACCTCTGAGCCATAACCCCAGCCCCTCTTTTTATTTTGAGACAGGATCTTGCTAATATTTGCCAAGCTGACCTTGAACTTGTTGTGATCCTCCTGTCTCAGCCTCCCAAGTTGGTGAGATTAGGGGCATGTACCATCACATCGGCTAGGGAGTAGTTTTTTTAATTCCAGACAGGGATGTGCAATGCTTTGAAGGACTTTTCAGAACAGTCCTGCCTGAGTCCAGGACCATTTAGAGTAACCACGGTCCTTAGGAGATGTTCAGGACTTAAGCTAGATGTCCACTGCAACCCACTGTTACCATGACAGGCTGGAACAAGTCAATGTTTTAGGGTAAACTAGGCAAAATAAAATTCTACTCTTCTGTTGGCAAGGATGATAAGTCCACAAACAAGTGATCTCTGAAGATTCTTTTCCACAGTGGAGCGGGAAGGGGTAGGGGAGAGGAATGGGATCTTTCCTTGCTTCTCACCTGACTGTTACCGTCTGCTCCTTGCTACCCAGGATGAGCCAGGTGCAGTTGGCAGGGGAGCTGCGCCTGTCCCAGCCCAGGGGCCTCTGTAAGGTGCCTTGCACTTCCAAGAGCAGTGCAGGAGGGTTCTCACAAGCTGGAGGGAAAAAGGTGGAGACACTGATATAGAGCCCCTTAACATCCCACTCCTATCCAGGCTTATGACCTCCAAGGGCCTGGGCTCTTCAAGATGGAGCAGAGCCCACTGCCCCTGATAACAGTCCACTGGCCCCTCTCTCCCTCTCTCCACTCCTCCTGATTTAAATATTAACACCACAATATTGAGCTCTGCTTTGCACCAGTCACTGGGTGAGGGAGGAGGAGTAGGTAATATTTCTCTATTTTGAGGAGGACTCTTTGAGTTAGAGCAAGCAGAGACATTCCATCTGAAAAGGTACATAACAACTGCCAGGTGAGGGCCCACACTGGGTGTCAGTTTTCCCATATGTAAAATAAAAGATTGATGAACTCCACTGTAAAACTATGGCAGTTCTCATGGAATTCAGAGAAGAGAGTCATTGTCTAGGGTTCCCTTTCATCGCCAAACCCGCGGAGCCCGGGGCTCCATCTACTCACCAGGACTTGGGAAAATGTTCAGGTCTGGATGCGCCAGAGCGCCTCCTACAGGGAAAGCGAGAAAGGGCAGGGCTGTGAGTCGCTCTAAGTTTTTTTCACCTGAACAACTCAAGGAGGAAACGAAGCTGGTCTGGGACTTCTGGGCTTCCGGGGTTCATGAGAATGGGTAGTGGAGCTCAGGGGAGGCTGCCACGCGTGACCTCAAAGGCAGGTCGTCCAGCAGTGCCTGTGGGGTTGATAGGGTGATCTGGGGAAGCTAGAGAGAGGACGAAGGCTGAATGCAGCCTATGGGGACTTTCCAGAGGTTGGGGCCGGCAGCGCTGGCTGCGGTGGGGGCTGGTGGTACGGGCAGGAAGGTCCGGTTGAGTGATCGCCTAGGAGGGAGTTAGAGCCCAGTCCCAGCTCGGGCGGGGTGTCGCGCGCTTAGCTCGTCTCGGTTCTTACCAAGGAGAAGGGGGAAGAGGACAGCCGGCAGCATCCTGGGCCGTCCCGAGGAGCAGGAAGAGTCCTGGAGCTTCTGTCTTCTACCCAGTGGAGAGGCGGCGGTGCTGCGGGCGTCCCGGCTCCCCAGTGCAGCAGCCCCGCGGGGGCTCCATGGCCCTGGCTCGACCTGTGCTCCGGATGCCAGGGCTGGGGGCGGGGAGGCGCCAGCCGCCCTGAAGTAGGGGCGGTGCCTCTCGCCAACTTTGGAGTTGTTTTCTCCGGCCGCCGCCGCGCGTCCTTGCTCGGGGCCGGCAATCGAAGGCTGGGACTCGGCTCTGCCGGTGTTGGCGCGCGCCCTCGCCTAGAGCCGGCCCGCAGGCCGCGAATGCCCCTCTCCAGGCCTGGCCGCCACCTGCCGGGGCTTGAGGCCACTTCCTCTTCGGTCCAAACTTTGGCGACTGTCAGACTCCAGGGCTGGCCGGGCGCGGCTCAACTTCCCCAGCGCGTCCAGCCCGCGGAACGCGACTGGGAAGCAGGGGAGGGGGAGAGGCGGCTGGGCCCGGCTCCCTGGCCCTCACCCAGGCAGTACCCTAGGCTGCTCTGGAGTCCTAGCAGCAGGGGCGGAGGGAGGGGCGGGTGGCGAGTCTGGTCCCACCCCTGCCAATCAACCCGCGGGCCCCGCCCACCTGCTTGCCTTAACCCCTTTCCGGCCCTGGCTGGGACTTGCCCAGTCGGCCCTTGACAAACAGCTTCAGCTTCCACTTTAACCCTGCTTTGGCTAGACTTTCTTTCTTTCTTTTTTAAATACTTTTGATTGCACATGGACACAATACCTTTATTTTGTTATTTAGTTTTTTTATGTGGTGCTGGGAGTCGAACCCACTGCCTCACTCTCGTGCTAGGCGAGCGCTCTACCACTGAACTACAACCCCAGCCCTTGGCTAGACTTTTGAGTGTAACTTATTTTTTGTTACAGGATGCGTTTATAACATGTTTGTCAAAGATCATGCAATTCTATAGATATAATGGCTTTCCTTTGAACCCTTAAGTTCTCAGTACTTTTTCTTGTCCCAGTGCCTGAAATCTAGTAGCACTTTTGGTAGTGAGCCTTTGGGTAGCAATTACCACACGGTATTGTAATCATTTGTTGTGGCATTTATTTATGCATAATTCCCGACCCTACCCCGCCCCTTCTCTGGAAACTGAAACTTCCTGTAGGCTGAGGCCTAGACTGTTTACCTTTGTACCCACAGAGATTTTCTCCTGCACACGGTAAGAACTCAATAAATGATAGGTAAATATGTGAATAAATATGATTTTACTACATGCTGCCTATGTGATCTTAAGAAAACTACTTAACCTCTCTGTGTGTCTCTATTATAAAATGAGGTTTATAACAGTGTGATTCCCTCTTGTTGTTGTGAACATTTAGGAAGATAATGCAAGTTAAGTACTAAAGCACACTGCCAGACTAGAGACAGTGCTCTATATCTGATGGCAACTATTATTAGCAATCACAGGACATATTTCTAGTTTATGTAGGGTTGGGGTTACTGATTTCCTATGACAGGGATAGATAATAAACAATAACTAATTGCAAACAAATGTATGTGCATCATATTTTCTTTATCTATTCATCTGGTGATTCATAGGCTGATTCTGTTCTTAGCTATGATGAAAAGTGGCACAATAAAGCACGAGCATGCGCGTATCTCTTTTGTATGCTGACTTCACTTCCTTCAGATATTTACCCAGGAGGTGTTTACAGCCCGACCAAATGGTAGTTCTATTTTCAGTTTCTTGAGGAACTTCCATGCTGTTTTCCATAGTAGCCATACTAATTGACCTTCCCACCAGCAGTGTAAAAGTGTTTTTTTTTTTTTTTTCCATATCCTATCGACATTTGTTGTTGGGTCTTTTTTTGTTTGTTTTTATTTGGGATTTTTCTTTCTTTCTGATAATAGCCATTCTAACTGGGGTTAATTGCAAACCTTTTTTAGCCTCTCTCCCCCAATATTTCAGCCAAAGACTTAAGTAAGCACTTAACTACATATATAGTAAATATGTATTTGTTCATTTAATTTTTTCAACAACCCTGTGAACTAGATACTATGGTGACTCCCATTTTGCATATAAAGAAATGCAAGCATGGATAAGTTAAGTATTTTGCCCAGGATCTAGTATAGGTTGAGCATCACTAATCTGAAAATTCAAAATCCAAAATGCTCCCCAAATCCTAAATCTTTTGAGCATCAGAGTGACACTATAGTGGAAAATTCTGCCCCATGAAACTTTGGTTCAGGCACAAAATATTAAAACTATTGTATAAAATTACTCTCAGGCTGTGTGTATAAGTAGTTTATGAAACATGAATGAATTTCATGTTTAGATTTGGGTTCCATCCCCAATATTTCTCAATAGGTATCTGCACATTTTTTAAATATTTATTTTAGTTGTAATTGAACGCAATACCTTTGTGTTATTTATTTATTTTTTATGTGGTGCTGAAGATTCAACCCAGGGCCTCGAACATGCTAGGCAAGCACTCTACTGCTGAGCAACAACCCCAGCCCCTAGGTATATGCAACATTTTTAAAAAATTCTAAAATGCTTCTGGTGCATGAGTTTCAGTTAAGAGGTACTCAGCCTGTAAATGGTGAAGTTAAGGATTGAACCTGAGTGATCTTGGCTCTGGATAGACAAATTCTGATCTTTACTACTCTTTTCCCTCTACAAATCATATCAAACCCTTCTCTATTAATGCATTTTGTTGCTTATGGACCTCAGTATAACCTGAAGCCATAGAGTTAGTGGTATAAATGCACTTCCTCCCTTGGACCTTGGTTCCATGCCCTAACTATCTCTACTCTCCCCAATGACAGTAGGATTTGATAGGACCCTGAAGGTAGGGGGAGGATGCAAAGGGAAGCAGGGCAAAGAGGTTGGGAAACTGAATCATTTAAGTCCTAAAAGAACTTATGGAGTTTTGGTGTGAGTGTTGGCTGTGCTCCCTGTGCTAGGTACCTGGCAGGTGTCCCTGGGTTAAATCCACAGTACCAAAAGATGGCCATGTCTCAAATTTGAAGGGTTAATTATTATTATTATTTTTTTCAGTGTTGGAAATGAATCCCAGCACCTCAACGCATGCTAGGCAAGTGTTCTATACTGGGCTGCATCACCAGCCCTTGAGGGGTTAATATTTAAGAGTGAATTCAAGAATCAGAGAAAGAGGAAGAGGGGTAGGGAGAAGAAATAAAGAGAATATTAGGAGAAAATTAAAGAGTCTAGGTCCATATATTTTTGTTTTGTTTTTGTGTTAGTGGGGATTGAACCTAGGGGTACTCTAACTGAGCCACATATCTTCCCCTTATTTTATTTTGAGTTGCCCAGGCTAGCCTTGAACTTGTGATCTTCCTGACTCAGCCTCCCTAGTTGCTGAGCCTGCAGGTATGTGCCACTGCGCCTGGCTTAGGTTCACGTAAATCATATTTAGACCACAAGTATCTTTGGGAATGGGCCTGTAGAAACATTCTTGGAAATCTTTAGGGAATTATTGAAAATAGTGGAAGTAATGGAAAAGGGCAGATATTTAGTTTAGGTTTTTTTTTTTTTTTTTTTTTTTTTTGTATTGGCGACTGATCCAGGGCACTTTACCATTCAGCTACATCTCCAGCCCCCCTCCCCCACCTTTTTTTTTAAAAGACAGGTTTTGCTTAAGTTGCTTAGGGCCTTGCTAAATTGCTGAGGCCGGCCTCAAACTTGCTAACTTCCTGCCTCACCCTCTGGAGTCACTGGGATTATAGGCATGTGCCTTTGTGCCCAGCAGATATTTAGGTTTTTTTTTTTTTTAATATTTATTTTTTAGTTGTAGTTGGACACATACACTTATTTTATTTATTTATTTTTATGTGGTGCTGAGGATCAAACTCAGGGACTCCCACATGCTAGGTGAGCGTTTTACCACTGAGCCACAACCCTAGCCCCAGATATTTAGTTTTTAAAATATATTTTTTATGCTAGGTACTATTTAAAACACTTCACATACATTATCTCATTTAATGCTCATCACACCTCAAGGAAGTAGGTATTATTTTTGTCCTTGTTTTAAAATTGAGGAAACTGAGTCACGATCAGATAACTTGCTCAGATCTAAATATTATTACCATGTACAAGAACCTAAACTTGAATCAAGCTGTCTGGATCAGAGTCCTTGCTGTTAAACATGATAGATTCTAGAATATTCACAGCAAGGACTTTCAAACCTGGCTAATTTCTAGACTAGATTTTAAAACAGATGGCTTGTGACTATGCAAAGAGGGAAGAGATAACCTGTCAATCATTCACCTGTCTGCTTTCAGATTCATTCTTCTATCTCTTCTTGTAAACTACATTTCCCAGGCTTCTTTGCAGAGTGACTTTGGTCTAGGTTCTGCTATTAGGAGGCTTGGTGGAAAGCTGGAGGGGAGGGGAAAGGAGGATCCAGGATGTACACTGTCTCTCTGCTTCAGCTTTATTTTCAGTAGGAACTATACATCTTCTGTGGTACTAGGTCTCTCTAGGAAGCCCGACCTCCTCTCTTCTTCCAGCTTCCTGCTGTTGCTAACCCATGGCCTATCTCAACATCTCCTTTTTGGCTTTTTAGCAATTTAATCATATTTATGACTATATTTCTGTTAAATTTCTTCTCTTGACTGTCTGGCATGGGCTATTTTCCTGACTAGATCCTGATCCATAAGGATAATTGCCAAGGAAGTTGGCATAGTTTACCAAGAAATAGACACATTATTCTAAAATAATTATTTTTGGGAGTATTACTTAGGCCGTACCATAAACACAGACAATCTGGATTTAAGCAAATAGGAAAATCTGGGTTGAACTAGCAGTCTCAGACTGAAGTATGTTCATGGTAAACACATCAAAACTGATGTCAAGGGGCATCCCTTGGAGTATAGCTCAGTGGTAGCACTTGCCTAGCATGCACAAGCGCCTGGGTTTAATCCCCAGGACCCTACACACACACAGTCCCTAAAACTTGACATCAATCTGGAAAATCCCAGTTAACATATAAAAAATTAATTATCTGAATGAATGAAGATGCAGAAAGTAAGTTAATCATGTTTTTTCTTTTAATTTTTTATTTGTTCTTTTTAGTTATATATGACAGTAGAATGTATTTTGACATATCATACAAAATTAATCAGATTTTAAGATGAACATGAATTGGAATTGAAAGGTAGAAGAGAAACGGGGAGTGGTGGCACATGCCTGTGAGCCCAGCTACTCAGGGTCGGGGCTGAAGCTGAAGGATTGCAGTTTCAAGGGCAGCTGAGCTATTTAGTGAGACTGTCTCAAAATGAAAAGCAAAGGGATGGAGTGTAGCTTAGTTGTAGAGGACCTCTGGGTTCAATTCTCAGTATCCCCCCTACACACACACACACACACACACACACACACACACACAGAAGGGATGGGAATGTTGCACAGTGGTAGAGCAGTTTGTTAAGCCCTTGGTTCAATCCCCAGTATGCTTAAAAAAAAAAAAAAGACTAAAGATTTTGACCACCTAAAACAATGGATCTAGAGTATCTACAATGACAGAAAAAACTCCAAAATTCTACACT